AGCTGTTTGGCGTATTCTGAGCCCTCGCAGCTGACTAGAGAACATCCCAGGTTGAGCACTCGTGCTGTTGTAGCAGCAAAGCTGAATTGAAGCTCACTGCCGTTACAAACATGTCGGCAGATCTTCCAGATTCTGAAAAGCGCCATTCCATCATCCATGTTAGCAGTTGGATGCTTGCCTCCAGTTTTTAACTTGACACGAATGGTGCATGGCGAGGTGCTCGGAGACGGGGTTTAGGGTTCAGGGATTCGGGTTTTAGCTTCGGGTTTAGCGTCTAGGGTGCAGGGTCTCGGGTTTGGGGCTTAGGGACAGCCGGTACAGCCCCAACTCTTCAGAGCCTGTTAGAAGTGCCCAGGTTTTGGAGTGGACATGGCCTGCAAAAGCCGATGCTCCACTGCCAGTAATCGGAGCACCGAAATTTTGCAAATCCCGGTGCCGGTCTCCTCATCTACGGTGCTGGGGCGCTTCACGGAGGCACGGATGTCAGCCGTCCCCAGGGTCTCCTGACAGTCGGCCATCCGGGTAGGACTCGAGGCATTGCCCCAGTTGCTTCATGACGCAACATATCAACCTGCAACCACAGGTTCGATTGGCAAGGTTGCCGATAACCCGAACCAGGCCACACTCTACGCAGTGCCTGAAAACAACTGCGCCCTTGCGTGGTGTGGCGCCGAGGTCCAAACTGCCCGCATGCCAGCAAATTCTGGAAGAAGAAACTACACACATCTTTCCAACAGACGTGACCTGCTTGCACCAAGATGCTTGAACAGCAGGGTCATCATCATCATCATCATCATCATCATCAACCACCACTGCTACCACCATCACCATCGTCCGGACCATGACGATCCTCAATACCTCAGAACCAACCTCACCACCATCGCCATCATCAGAGAAGTACCTGTCATAACCCTAGATCTCCTGGGCTTGCAGGTGGAGAACATGGCCGCCACGGTGAGGGGCCGGGATGGTCTGGGGCATCGTCTCCTTGCCACCAGGCTGAGGGGTGACCGTGATGACAATGCGATATTTCCACGATCCATAACCCATGCGAAAGCAACGGCACGGAGTGGGAGTCAAAGGTAGTGGCGGTGGCGGTCGTGGCGGTGGGAATCGGTGTAGCTCGGTCCAGTGTCCCTCAAACCCCTGGGCCAGATGCTTCCAACATCGACATCGAACCTGTAAATCCCGTAGGCCCTTGAAAGCGCGCAAACACAAAAACTGTCCTGAGCCATCGCGTAAAGAGAAGAGAGGCAAGGCTGGAGAGTTTTGAGCCCGCTGCATTTCGGAAGGTCGGGTTTAGAGGCCTTGGGGAAACAGAGCTGTAGCCTTCACCCAAAGCAAGTTTAGCCTTCTTCACCTTTGGTGCTTGAGGGGCTTGGGATGTAACTTCGAAGCACATTGCCTGAGGGCCTAACACAAAGAATCAAGGCCTGACTGGGGAAGCTTCGAGCAGAGCTTCTGAGAACTGCAGCGCACTGTTGCCACTATGCTGCCAAGATCTGGCGAGGTGAAACTGCCGAGCTGCTTTGCAGCCATGGCTGTGGTTGGGGATTCCTGGGCTCTGAGAGTTGAGGGTTTCAGGATCCCCCGCGAACTACATGCGAAGGCTCTCTGGCTCAGGGTAGGGAACGACGGGGGGAACGGATTCCGATGATAGCTTTTTATGGTCCCTTATAGTCCGTTCCCGGCGTTCCCTACTGAGAACCAGGAGAAGTGGAGCGCCTTGGTCTCCGACTGTACAAATCAAGCTGCTGCGAGGGCTCCGGGAGCTGGCCTTGACCCTGATTATAGCCTTCATTAGTATAGCAGTAGCAGTGGTAGTGATAGCAGCGGCAGCAGCAGCAAGAGGAGTAGTAGTAGTTGTTATTGTTGTTGTAACAGTAGTAGTAATAGCAGTAGTACTAATAGTACTAGCAGTACTAGTAGTACTAGTACTGTTAGTACTAGTACTACTAGTACTACTAGTAGCACCACTAGTCGTCGTAGTAGTAGCAGCAGCAGCAGCGGCAGCAGCAGCAGTAGCAGTAGCAGCATCGTAACCCGAATGTTGATATTTTGTATAGTATCCGTATACCAAACTTTATGCGAAAAGCCGAGGCCCTAGCCTTCTACTTGTGGTGGGCATCTCCATTGCACATATGATACAGCAACCGTACCAAAGTGTGTCACCAGCATCTGAGGAGTCTTCTGCAGACAACGGAGCACAGCCCAAGTCTCACGGCCAGTACCACATCAGCTGTGACAACAGAGCAAGTGGCAACCGTAAGGCCGTGATCATGATCGGAGCAACTTTCTTCATGGCTCTGCCTACTAGGCCGAGATTTGAGCCTCCCCCAAGCTACGTTAGAAGATCCTTCGCCTTCACGATAACCACCAACTACAACTGCAAGCACGCAACCTGAAAATGAAACTAAACCCTAAGCCCTAAGCCCCCAAGGCCTCAAGAACCCCTGAACCCTCAAAGGAGCCAATTTTGACCCTTGCAGGTCCTGAGCCAGCTCAGAACCCGGGGCTGGGCTCGCCCCTGCAACAAAAGAGCTTGGGGTTCAGTATGCAGGGGTGCGGAGTTCCAGGTTTTTTGGGGGGGTTTCGGGTTTAGGGTTCAGGGTTTCGGGTTTAGGGTTCAGGGTGCCGGGCTCCGGGTTGAAAGCGAAGGTTCAGGCCCAGGGTTCGGCGTAGTACTCAGGACTAAAGCTCGCCTCGGCCTCAGCCGAAACGTCAGATGCGCCACACTAGCAGCCACTAGCACCTCCTGTAACTGGGCGGGTGGACAAACAAGCAAGAGATGCGGATGGCCAGGTTTCTGCATATCTCGGATGCATACTGACCGATGTGCATACACACATATGGCCAACAGATGCAAACTGTGGGCGGCTGGGCATAAGCTTATCATGAGCACCTTCATGAATCCTCGTCTTCGAGAAATGCTTTGCCTGCCGTAGCGCATCCAACGGACCCAGGCTGTGGGAAATTTGCGAACGAGCTCGTCCCAGAACTTCGTGTCCTGGCTTTCACATTCAAGGCTGCTGCTTTGGGATTTGATGGAAGCCTGTGGCTGGCTGCAACCTACAATCCGACCTCCTACGCATTAATGACACCTCTGATTGAAAGTTCGAAACACATGGAACCCTTCTGGAGCCCTTGATAAACCCCTCGTAGAACCCTTATGCAACCACAAGTGCCACAAGGCTGAAGAAATCTACAAATCTCCTTACAAAAATCCCAAGAACGCTCCAACCCCCAGAGCCTCGTGGAGGAACTTCGCGGCGAACCGGAAGGCGGCCATGTTGCCTGAGTTGAACTCAGGGGTTTAGGGGTCTAGGGTTTAGGGTTTAGGGTTTAGGGTTTAGGGTAAGAGGGCAAACAAAAAAACCTGGAAAGCTGCAAGGCGCTGTCCGAAAAAATGGTGGCAAGACGTGGCCCTGACGGGACACCCCCATCCACTGCAGATGCCTTCCCCCCTCCGCAGGGAACTCTTCTCAACAAAAAACTACCCAAATCAACTGAAGCTGTTTGGATATCCGCCCAGTTCCCGACCAATTGGTTTTCCGCAGATGGACCTCATAGCTTCCTTGAAGCCATGACAAAGTTGTGCCCAAGCTTGTGGCATCCGAGCATAAGGCGTCGTTGGATGGAGTGGGAAGTGGCGTCTCCTCAACCTCATGGAACTTGAAAAAGTGGCCGCTTCTCCGACATCAAGTTTTCGTTCTCCCCCCGGCTCTTTGATGGGTCTGCGCACGTAGAACAGGGAAGTGATGTATCTGCCTTTTGGTGGGCTGCTTAGAAAAGTGGCTTCCTGCTGGCCGAATGAGACAGGCGTGGGCGAATTCCCCGTTACTGTTGCTACGAGCTCACGCACAGGAAAACGCACGCCGAAAACGTTGCGCCTGAGAGTGTTCCCGACACTGCGCGGTTTGCCGCCGAATCTGGGTTCTCCGGCTTACATAAGAGACACATTCATGAGGCCACAGAGAAGGCGAGCTCCGTTTTAATTGGTGCGGCAAATTCCGGCAAGATGTAGCGAACGGACTTGGGGATGACTCTGGCATTTCGGATCATTCTGGGGGCCAAGCCAACCGCAAGCCCTAAATCCTGAATACTAAACTAGACTAGACTATACTGCTGCTATAGTGTTACTATCATGTTACTGTAATATCTCCATAATATTAAAATATTACTGTAATGTTGTAAACCCTATCAACACTAAACCGTGAGACCATGGAAAAGCCTAGACAAAGCCCAGCTCCACAAATTGCATCCGGCGCACGCTTCATGGCCATCATCACAAAGCCTCGGGTCCGTGCCAGGCCCTCTCGCGACCCTTAAAGTTCTTAGAGCCCTGCCGCAAGAACAAAAAAAGCTGCAGAATCTTTCTCAAAGAAACACAACCAGAGTTCACGTATGGCAAGCAGCTTCTGGACTGGTCCCGCACGAATTACTCCGAGTCTCAAACGACAGAAACGCACAACCGAACCCCAATGCACCCCCTACGGTTTAGGACAGAAGCGGTTCAGGCTATATATATATATATAATACACACATATATGGTATATAGGTTTGGGGAACACGCTGAAGCAGAGTCCAGGGAACGCGCGTTGCCTCGGATCGCGGGTGCCGCGTGCTGAAGGGCCAAGCCCTCTTGGCGTATGGCAAGGTTCACCTGGGTTTAGAGGTCAGGGGCATCCTGAGGGGGCTTTAGGGATGTTGGTGGTTCAGGGTTACTTTGGGGCTTAGGGGTTCTAGGGATTTGGCGGTTTTGGGCTTGAAGGGTTCAGCGTCAAAGTCTTTAATCACCACACCGATACGCTGACACTCTGCCTGAGCCCTGAACTTCAAGATCCCAAGCCCCAGAACCTAAACAGCTGGGTTCTTGTTTAAGGAATTTGATTTAAGCTACCATATTAGGGATCTACAGTAAATCACATGGTTTCCGTATTATCGTGACTTAAAGTGAATCCCTTAACAAGAACCCAGACAGCCTAGACCCTGAAGTTCAAGACTCGACTTTCAGCCAGCCACCAAATCCTCGTTGCCCTTCAGCCGCAGGGAGGCGAACTCCATGGCCCGCCATGTCCTGAGCCCCAGCTGAGAATGGCCCACGCATGCCCCGCTGCGACGGCTGTCGCACTTGGCTTGTGATTGCGATTGTAGACATGAAAGCAGATGCGATGAAATAGCAGCCGCAGGTAGTGGAACCAGAGGCAGACATGGTGACAGTCAGAGTCAGGTTCTAGACAATGAAGAAGAAGCAGGAGAAGAATCATGGTTGCTGCCCAAACTGCTGCGCCACAGCGTGGAAGACGATCTCGTCGTCATCTCGGAGCTCCTCCGTGGCGTAGCGGAGGACGGAGCCTTCCTGCCCCAAAAAACCGGAGTTTCAGCACTCTTCTGTAAAGGCAGGGCCTTCTTCGCAAACCGGTGCAGGCTTTAGACTTTGGGGTTTAATCTGTAGGATTTAGGTGTTCGCTTTTGGGTTTGCAGCTTTGCATGATCTACTTATGACCCTCAGGGTCAACAGCAAACCACCAAAGCCGTGAACTGCAAGGCGCTGCAAGCTCCGCTGTCGCCTGCCGCACAGCCTTCAACATCACAGGAGCATTCCCATTCAGCCTGCCGGAGCTTGGGATAGATGGAGGTTCCGACTCGCAGCAGAATACTTTGTATTTACGTGGGGCTTACAGTGTAACTGCCAGACACGCTCTACACGTTCGACTTCTTATCAAGCTCGAACAGCCCCATGCCCACAAGCTGCAGTCTTTCGGATATCTCTGGTCTTCTGCTCTACGACATGGACATCATTCAGGGCCACAACTGGGCAATCGCCAGCAGAACAGTCAGAGTACCGGTCCGGGCGGTCATCTTGTGCAGCGATGGGGATTTAGTGGGATGCTGCGCATGTACCAAGTGGTGGTAGTAGTAGTAGAAGCAGCAGCAGTAGTAGCAGTAGCCGCACCAGCAAAAGCGAGATAGAAACGGTACAAGCAACGAGACGAGCTTGCAGCCACGAACCATGTGACCCTGCAGACACAGAAACAGAGCAGCTCTGGTTTGCTAAGCTCCAGAGATTGTCTAACCAGACCAAGAGAACCAGACCTAGCTAACAGCCCGAAACGGAAGACCTTCAATCGAGCATGTACGAGAATCGGAGCACCTTTCGTCTCGAACGATCTGGGGATTGCTCTCAATCAGCTTGGACCTATAGAAGGGAGGAGTAGAAAGTTGGGCGCGGCTTATGTGGGCGTTTGGGCATTCGCGCAAGGCTCAAAGGCTCCCCGGAGGAGTCCTTTCCAGTCGGTGTTGCACATGTTCAGTTACTGCTTTTCATGTATACTTGAATGCACGTGTTTCTTGGTGTGGGCATACATTCCGGCTACCATCGACCCTGGCGTCCTTCCGCATCAACGAAGGCCCGGTTAAGCTCACAAGGCGGGTATGCATCAGCTGCTAGGGGGGCAGAGATGCCCAAAATGCTATCATTGAGATCCTGGCAGGTCGTCTGTCGGCCCCTGATAGAAATGGTCCATGTACCTTGGATACACCATGATGCACCTCCCTGCCATGCTGCGGCCAGTCAAAAAACACCATCTTCCCTCCTCAGAGTCGCCTCGCAACGTAGACAAATATCGTGATGTCCACATCACGGCAGCCCCGGTCCCAGGAATCCTCACACTTGCAAAGACCACGTCAAGGCACAAAGAGATGGCTCGCCAGTCCTGGCGGTTCAAAGGAGCGTGCTTCGAAGAAAGAGATCTGCCTCAAGAACTAAACATCAACTTCTCCAGCTGCTGTTGGCCATCTTCGCACGTCCCAAGATCCCCGAAGTACTTACGCCACTTAAATCTCAGAGGTGGCGGGTTTCGAAAAGGCAGCTATGTCCAGGCTTCATCGACATTTCCGGCAAAAAAGCGGGCCTGCTTGACAGCTTCCACGATGGAGGCAGCATTGACGTTCGCTGCATATCTTGGGCAGTTCTCCAACTTTGGGGAGCACGATACTAATCACCAGAGTACCAGCTGAGACTATCAGGAAAATGGCCAAGAAGGCTTCAGGAACGGAGAGGAGGCAAGACAGACCGCACGAAACAGAACACGACCAGAAGCCAAACAGTAAGCAAAACGAGCACGTTTAGGGCCGTCTCCAGGGTTAGCGATTGGGACGTTGACTGCTTCGTGCTGTCACAGCTGGACTAGACCAGACGGTAACAAGACTATACATAAATCGATATACATATATAGATATATGTGTATATATATATATATAAAGTATGCATATATATACATATATATATATATATGTCTACATGTAT